TACAGTGGCACTGTGCCATGTAAGGGCTGACTGGTCTAGGAGGGCACACTGACAATCAGCAGTGTATGGCTGCATCGGGTACTGGAACTGCATAAGGGAAAGAACCTATTATATGATGTGGACCAGGCTGCCTATCAAGGCTCCTCTCTTACTGTCCTGAGCACATTCACCTGGTGATTATCGGTATGTCCTCAGCATGCTTTGGCATTTGGCACAGTCAGACAACCAGTCAGGTGGCAGTGCTGTGCAGCAATCCTTATTTGAGAATGCCCACATTTTCTCATATGTGAGTGTGCCATGTCACTGTGTTACCTCTATCATGTGGCCTTAGTATTCTCAAAATGGTACCGCTGATTGTGGCAACAAAACACTTTTCACTGTATCTTCAAGACATATGTGACAATAAACAAATAATCAACAGTCATTCATTCATTCATCTGCAGTGAGCAGTGGGATATGTCCGAAGGTCTTTGGGAAGTAGTCCAAATGGGAGTCATTGTGGGGAGGAGATGGCATATGGAAGAAATGACGTATGTTAGGGCTGGTGCATATGGAGGAAAGGTGTTGAGGTGTTTCAAGGGAATGAAGAGGCAGTGTGGAGTGGTTGTGGCAAAAAGTGAGGTAACGAGGGTGAGTGAGGGAAGGTGTTCCAGAAGGCATTCGACAAGGTATCTCACAAAAGATTAAGTTGTAAGAGCCCACAGTGTTGGAGATACTATATTGGCATGGTTGGAGAAATGGCTTATGGGCAGCTAATGGGAATAAGGGATTCTTTTCCAGGTTGGTGACCAGTGGGGTTCCACGGAAATCAGTGTTGGGACCCCAACTGTTTTCAATATATATTGATGACTTGGAAGAAAGAAGTGAATATACTATAGCCAAATTTGCAGACAATAATTAGGTGGAAAGGCAAGTTGTGAAAGAGATGCAGTTTACAGAGAGATATTGATAAGATAGGTAAGTGGACAAAAAGTTGGCAAATAGAGTATAATGTTGGAAAGTACAAAGTTGTGAAAGGGAGAACAAACAACAAAATATTATTTAAATGGATAACAAAACACAGAAAGCAAGCACACAGATGCAGTAGGTAATCATGAAGGCTAACAGAATGTTGGCCTTTATTTCAAGTGGGTTGGAGCATAAGAGTAGTTAAGTCTTACTGTAAGTGTACAAGGTGTTGGTGAGAGCTCATCTGAAGTTTTGGTCCTGTTATTTAAGGAAAGTTATCATTTCGTTGGAGGCAGTTCAGAGAAGGTTTACTAGGATAATCTTATGATTGTCTTATGAGCAAATGCTAAACAGGTTGGGACTCATTGGAATTTAGAAGAATGAGAGGTGATCTTATTGAAACATATAGGATTCCTAACGGGCTTGACAAGGTAAATGTTGAGAGAATGTTTCCCATCATGGAAGAGTCTAGGGTCTGGGAGAAAAGTCTAAGAATAGAGGTGTGTCAAGTTAAGACTGAGATGAGTAGGAATTTCTTCTCTCAGAGGGCCGTTGTCTTTGGAACACCTTGCCACAGAGTGCTGTGGGAGCACAGACCTTGTGTATATTTAAGGCTGAGATAGATAGATTTTTGATCAGCAAGGGTAATGGGGAAAGGGCAGGGAATTGGATCAGCCATGATTCTATTGAAGAGTCGAGCAAGCTCGAGGAGCTAGCTGTACAGCCTACTCCTATTCCTATTTCTTATGGTTACTGTTATATTCTATAGAGTGCGTGTCAGAGTGAAAGTACTGGTGACAGGTGGGTGTTGTGGCACAGATAAATATGAGGCAGCAGAAGGGCAGAACATTACACCCAACCTGGCAGAGCGGGGAAGACCACCAACCTGGGTGGCGATCTCAAACCACCTGGTCTGGTGGTGAGGACTCCTCCGCCAGATCTCTGGGAAGACAACTCCTCTACTCTTGACAACAGCATCCACAAGATGGGATCCTTCTTAGCAAAATGTGGTGTCAGCCTGCCCTGGGAAGAAAGACTCTGACTATCCACCCATGGGGGAAAAACTATCATAATCCATAGATTACTGCGCAACTGTTTGGTAATGGTCATTGAGCACACATCTTGTTGGAGCCCAACTGAGTACAGTAATGGGCATCATAACTGTAACCATCTGCTCAAATCGCCGTCTCCTGTCTTCACAATTATTGACATCAACCAGCGACACACCAGAAGCTGATTCAAACCATCTATGCTGTACCTCACTTACTCACTCCTCAACATCCTGCTCAACTCACCTACTGTCTGCCTTCTATCTCGGTGCCTCATATGAGCAGCCTTCCAAGATCTACCAGCAGATGTTCTTTGGTTCAAGGAAACAGGGAAGTCTCTAATGGTGACTTATCCCATTTATTAAATGACAAGTTTTGAACTACCACGATGAGAGTGGTCCTTGCCAAACAGGTCAAGGACAAACCATTACTACTTGATCTAGTAATGAATTAGACAATAAGGCTTTGCTTCTGGAGGGAACAATAAGGTGATTTGGGTCGCCAATTATCCAGGAACTATAGAATAATCTCCTGCCCCTGTGCAGCCAACCTCCATCACCGAGGCGTCAATACAAATACCATACGCACTGGTGGACAGACACAAATAATGATGCACGTTCCCAAGGAGTGTCCCTCAAAGTAGCAGACTACCTAACCATAAGCTCAGCAAATGAGGAGCTGATTGCTTAACTCTGGGGATTTTCATTTGCTAAACAAATAAAGAAACGGAATAATGTGGGAGGTTGACCTTGAGGTGGAAATGGACTGCTGCCTTCTTGAACTGCTGCAGTTGAGTGTAGATATACCCACAGTGCTGAGTCCCAGGATTTTGAGCCAGTGCCAATGAAGGAACAGTGATATATTTCCAAGTCAAGATGATGAATGACTTAGAGGGAATCTTACAGGTGCTGGTATTCCCATGTATTTGCTGCCCTTGTCCTTCTCAATGGTAGTGGCTGTCGGTTTGGAAGTTACTATCGAAGAAGTAGCAATTTTCTCCAGTGCTTCTTGTAGATTACACAGATTGCTGCCATTGAGTATTGGTTTAGGAGGGAGCAAATGTTTGAGGATGTGGTGCTAATTAAGCAGGCTGTTTTATCCTGATGATTGAGTGTGGATGGAACAGCACTCATCCAGCCAAGTGGGCAGAATTGCCGATATTTGCCAAATTGCCCTGTGGAATCCTGTGGAATCATAGCTTCTTAATCAATCTGCCATACAAGATCTCAAGAAAAGCCTACCCTCATCTACACATCTAGTCACCTCTTCGTAAATTTATATGAACTTGGAAAGACAATAACTGATTAGGAATTGTCAGCATAGCTTGCATGGGAGATTGTGTCTCACAAATTTGAGTTTTTTTTTCGAAGAGGTTACCAAGAAGATAAATGAAGGAAGAGCAGTATCTACATGGATTTTAAGGCCTTTGACAAGATCCCGCATGGTAGACTGATTAGTAAGATCACATGAGATCTGGGGAGATATAGCCAACTGGATACATAACTGGCTTGATGGTAGAATACAGAGGGTGGTGAAAGTGGCATCGCATATAAACGGGGTAGTTTGGCATGCTTGCCTTCATTGGTCAGAGCATTGTGGTGAGCAGGAGCTAGAATGTCACAATAAAAACTGAAAGAGCTGCGGATGCTGTAAATCAGGAACAAAAACAAAGTTGCTGGAAAAGCTCAGCAGGTCTGGCAGCATCTGTGAAGGAGAAAACAGAGTTAACGTTTCGGGTCTGGTGACCCTTCCTCAGAACTGGAATGCCACGTTGTGGCTGTACAAGACATTGGTGAGGCCACTGTTGGAGTATTATAATTCTGGTTGCCCTGCTTTTATAACGATGTTGTTAAAATAGAAAGGGTGCAGAAAAAAATGTACAAGGACATTGCCAGGACTGGAGGGCTTGAGTTACAGACAGGCTGGGACTTCTTTTCCCCTGAAGTGTCATAGGCTGAGGAGTGACCTAATAGATGTTTATAAAATCATGAGGGGCATAGATAAGGTGACTAGCCAAGGTCTTTTTCCAAGGGTAGGAGAGTCTAAAACTAGAGGGGATAGGTTGTAAGTAAGAGGGGAAAGACTTAAAAGGGACCTGAGGGGCAATTTTTTCAACAGAGGGTGGTGTATGTATGGAATGAGCTGTCCGAGGAAGTTATAGAGACAGGCACAATCACAACATTTAAAAGACATTTGGAGAGGCACATTGATAGGAAAGGTTTAGAGGGATATACACCAAACGTAGGCAAATAGGATCAGTTTAGATATCTAGTCGGCATGGACCAGTTGAACCAAAGGGGCTGTTTCCATCCTGCATGACTCTAAATTCAAATTGTTTTCCATGATCCTCTCCTGACAAAACCATGCTGACTATACTTGCCTCTCCAAACCGCGATCAATTCTGTCCTTCATAATTTTATCCAAGTTTCCCTACCAGAACATGGACTTAGTGTACTGGTTTATCCTTGCCACCCGTCTTGAATAATGGTACCACATTAACATTCCTTCAGTCCTGAGGCCAGAGTCGATTTGAAAATGAATGCTGTGCCAGCTACAATGTTGCTGCAGCATTAATAACCTGGTCTAACAGATTTAAGTAACTTGAGTGTAGATGTGACACAATTAAACACCACTCTATCATGACGGGGTTGGGGAAATTAAACACCAGGATGTGTGATTTCGGTTTTCTGATGTCCTGACGGAAGGTTACTACATTGGAAACGTTAACTGTGTGTTCTCTGTCGACGGTTTCTCCAACAACTTCGCTTTTTTTTTGTTTATTTCACTTTTCTCATCCCTCTGTACTACAACCGCCTCTTCACTCTTCGAGGGCGAGGTGAGTTTCCGGAAATAGCCGAGGCCTCAGTCGGCCGTGTTTCGGGTACATCCGAAGAGCCAGGCTGATTCCGGTAATAGCCGAAGCTTCAGTCGGTAAGGTTCCGGGCACAGCCGAAGCGCCAGCCTTAATCCGGAAATAGTCGAGTCTTCAGCTGGTCGGGTTCCGAAACAGCCAAAGTGTCGGCCGGTCGGGTTGCGGAAACAGCCGAAGCTCCCGCCGGCCTGCATCCGGAAACAACTGAGGATCACGACACGCCGGATATTGCCGAGCATCGTAGGAGGGCATGACGGAAATAACCGAAATTGAGATGTTGGTGGAATTGGCTTGACTTGACGACGGGGGAAAAAAAAAAAGAGGGTGGAGGTTTAAACAGAAACAGCGGATCGATTCGGAGCGAGAATCAGAACCTCCTGGATTTGTCCAGGACGACTGTCGAACTGTTAAACGGCAAGCGCGAGGAAGTGGGAAACCCCGTGCACCGTGGGTCACGTGATTCCAGCCGGCGGTGGAGGTCACCGAACGCTGATTTGAATTTCCTGCGAACGCTCGGATCTTGTTAGAGTTAGTGAATGTATTGTTTTTCAATGGAACCGACTCTCAAATAACCACTGTATTTCGTGCTGTTTTCGATCGTCAGTTCTGGGGAAGCTGAACTCTCCCGCGCACGGGGCTTTGGCGCCCGCATGAGTCGCGGGCCTCTCTGTGCGAGGTCACGTGAGACGTCTGATGTCAGGGAATCCCGCCAAAGTGACGTGCAGCCTGCGATGTTGCAATTTCCTGACCTTGCCTGATAAAGGCAGCAAGGCTGGTTCCGCACCTAATTTGGCGGGTGGGTGTGGAGAGAGACGAAACAAAACAAAATAATAATGTAGTTCAGCACTTAATTTGAGAGGGAGAATAGCATAGCTCAGTCTTACTTTGGGGAAGTGGAAACAGTGTAGGTCCGCACCTAATTTGGGAGAGGGTGGGACGAACAACGCAACTAAGTAAATCTAATTTGGGGTGAAAGTGGAAGCAGTGTACCGAAATGGGAGGAACAGTACGGCTCAACGCTGTGTGGTGGGGTGGAGTGGAGTGTGGTAAAAGTGTAGCTCAAGATGAACGTACTCTGGCACACAGGGCACAATCTCAACATTGGCAGATGCCACTAAATTTTGAAGGTGGTGTAAACTGAGGAGGCTAGCGATCAAGTTGAGGGTAGAAGCTGTTTGATAGACTATGTTTAATGCAGAGGAGTGTGAAGTGGAAATAGAAAGCACTGGACAGTCTCAATAGGTCTGGCAACCTCTGGGGAGAGACAAAATGTGTTAATACTTTGAACCTGATATGACTAAAGTGATATTTCTGTTTGTTCTCATATGTGCTGTGAAACTACTCAGTTTCTCCATCACTTTCTATTTTCATTTCAGATTTCCAGAATCTGCAGTATCTTGCTTTTATTTCGGTGTGAAGTGATGTATCCTTCAGGAATGAAAAGGACAATGTAAAGTAAAGCATTCAACTTAAAGGGAGTACAAGGACATAGAAACCAGGGGAATATGCAAATTTATTGAAGGTAACAGAGTAGAAAGCAGTCAGTAAAGCAACAGAATCATCGGCTTTATAATGAAAAACTCTTCTGATAAGCCCTAGTAATTCTATTTTGATCCTGATCAGCCAAATGCGAACACTTAAATTTAGAATGTTTGTTTGTTTTTTTTAATTTTGTTCGTGGGATACGTGTGTCATTGGCAAGAACAATATTGCCCAGCAACAAATTGATGTGGGTCTAGAGTCACATGTAAGCCAGATGAGGTGAGCATGGCAGGTTCATTCCTTAAAGGACATTAGTGAACCAGATGGGTTTTTACAACAGTCAACAGTGATTACAGGAATTGCCTCCTGGAAATTTCAATTTTATAGAATCATAGAATCCCTACAGTGCAGACAAAAAGCTATTTTTTGGCCCATCAAGTCTTCCCCAACCATCCAAAGAGCATCTCACCCAGACCCCACCCCTGTTCTTGTAACCCTGTGTTTACCATGGTTAATCCACCTAGCCTGCACATCCTTGGACACAATGTGGTAATTTATCATGGCCAATCCATCTAACTTGCACATCTTTGGGCCATGGGAGGAAACTGGAGCACCCAGAGGAAACCCACACGGGTTGTGCAAACACCACACAGGCAGTGGGAGTGTGCACATTGTTGCAGGAGTGACACAAATTGCACGTCAGGAACCATGTGGAAAGCCTGACGCACTGACTCTGAGGCAAGCGCCTGGGAAGTTGCCTAGGCCAGCACGTTGGCTCAGTGGTTAACACTGCTGCCTCTCAGTTCCAGGAACCTGGGCTTGATTCCAGCCTTGGCTGACTGTGCTGAATTTGTACATGTTCTCCCCGTGTGGATTGCCTATAGTGTCCACAACCCAAGTATTCTGCAAGATTTTTGCCATGTTATGGTTTAAATCATACGTAAATGTTGAACAGAAAGCAAAACATTTGCTGAGTTAAAATTCAGAGCTGATAGATCTTCAGTAATGCTGAATTTATTTAAAACATTGCTCACATTTTACTGCTCTTTCACTGATTACGATTTGTAATATTTATTTTAAACCTACAGAATATATTGAGATTTTGTAGCATGTATTAGCCTAAATACAGTTCTTAAGTTTTGCTTTTCCATCACTTAATTTTGTTGCTGTAATGACAGGGGGTGGTTCAGGAGATCGAGTTATATTTTGTACAGTTCCTGTGCTGGAGATCAGGCTCATCTCATTTTGAGAGATACTGCTTTTGCATCAAAATATCACCTCTGCACTGTTAATACTGTTTCTACAGGTCCAAGTGGTGCTGCGTCCACTGCTTTTCGTCATTAATATGAATGACTTGCATGTAAACATAGGAGGTGTGGTTAGTAAGTTTGCAGATGACTCTAAAATTAGAGATGTAGTGGACAGTGAAGAACGTTACCTCAGAGTACAACGGGACCCAATGGGCCAAACAGTGGCAGGTGAGGTTTAATTTAGATAAATGTGAGGTGCTGCGTTTTGGAAAGGCAAATCAGGGCAGGACTTATACACGTAATGGTAAGGTGTGGGGAGTGTTGCTGAACAAAGAGACCTTGGCGGGTGGGTTCATAGTTCCTCGAAAGTAGAGTTGCAGGTAGATAGGGTAGTGAAGAATGCATTTGGTATGCTTGCCTTATTGGTCAGTGCATTGAGTGTAGGAGTTGGAAGGTCATGTTGCTACCGTACAGGACATTAGTTAGGCCACTTTTGGAATACTGCATTCAATTTTGGTCTCCCTGTTATAGGAAGGATGTTGTGAAACTTGAAAGGGTTCAGAAAAGATTTATAAGGACGTGGCCAGAGTTGAAGGGTTTGAGCTGCAGGGAGATGCTGAATAAGCAGGGGATACTTCCGTGGAGCATTGGAGGCTGAGGGGTGACCTCGGAGGTTTATAAAATCATGAGGGGCATGGATAGGGTGAATAGACAAGGTTTGGGAATCCAAAGCTAGAACGCATAGTTTTTAAGGGGAGAGGGGAAAGATTTTTAAAAGAAAAAAAGACCTAATGGGCAACTTTTTCACGCAGAGGGTGGTGTATGTATGGAATGAGCTGCCAGGGGAAGTGGTGGAGACTGGTACAATTACAACATTTGAAAAGGCATCTGCATGGGGAAATGAATAGGAAGGCTTTAGAGGGATATGGGCCAAATGCTGGCAAACGGGACTAGATTTATTTGGGATATCTGGTTGGCATGGACGAGTTGGACTGAAGGGTCTGTTTGCGTGCTGTATATCTCTATGACCAGAACCTCTCTCTACTCTAGTGTATTGCTTAGAAAAGCTTGGAGTGTATTATCACCAACCAACTCCATTTGTTTCATAGAATCATAGAAAAATTCAGCACAGAAGGAAACCATTCAGACCATTTGAGTCTGTCAGCTATATTGAAGAGCAGTCCACTTCATCCTTTGCTCTTTGCCCACATCCTTGCAATGTATTTCGCTTCAAGTATTTTATCCAATTTGAAGGCAACTATCAGGGAACATATTTTAAATGTTAACTATTTGGTGTGTGAAAAATAGTTTTTCCTCTTGTTACCGCTAGTTCTCTTGACAGTCATCTTAAATCTGCACTTTCGTCATCCTGTCAGCCATCAGAAATTGTTTAACTTTTTGATTATCTGTTTGACAGTTTACACTCTACTTAGGACAAATTTGGAACTGCCTGACAATGAGAATTCCAATAAGGCTTGGGTATGCGACTTTGGAAAATATGTAAATTACTAAAAGCACTATTAAGAAATGTACAGTCAGATCCAGTATCAAATAAAGATGTTTCATTGGTGGCAATTTACAATTTATTGTGTCTGCCAGCCTCTTAACTATGCCTGTCATTTTTCATTCTAGAACACTCAATGGGGTTTGGATTGTCTATTTGCTCCCAGACTTCAGATAGGATTCTTGGTGTAAATAAAGCATTTTTGTGAAGATCATCAAACAGGACTTTTTTTTTGTTTGAACAGGATATCCTAGAAAAGGAGTTGAACTGCCTCTAGTTTTGTGTTTCTTGTCATGTTCTATATTAAAATAAACTGGACTTGTTTTAGTTTAAAGCTCTTAGATTTTCATTTTATTTTAGTTAACGTATTTTTCCTAATCAACCTATTCAGAGATGTTATTACCACCTTTTGGGAGCAGGTGGGACTTCAACCTGGATCTCTCATTTCAGGGGTGGGGACACTACCACAGCATCACAAGAGGGCCTCTGAGGTTTTCATTTTTTTTGTACATAGATCACCTGTATGTTTTGTGTTTTTATCAGTAGTCTTAACAAGTTTGGAATCTATTTGAAATTATTTTTTCAGGTTAAATAAGTCTTTTTAAAAGGTAATGGAGTATACTGTTGAACATATAACTTCGATTGTTCACAGCAAGTAAGCAGAACATAACATGAAGTGTCGCAAATTGACCAACAACGACAGTTCTCTTTCCCCCTCCCCAAAAAAAATCTGCTAAATGTCAGTCACAGCAATCCAAAGCATTTTTGGTTAGTGGGCATCAGATAAACACTGCCCTTAAGTAGTCATCCCTCACACAAGCCTAAATGTGGACCTCAGCTTTTTAAACCAGGTGCCTAGAATGTTTGTTGTACATTGAACCTACAGACTGTGACACTGCTTCCGCCAGCGTGGCCTCACATTACTAGTTCTGTTCAAAGAGAGACTAGGCTCCAGTTCTAGAGTAGTACTACAACCTAAATGCTCCAAACAATTTAAAGTTGCTTTATAGGGCAAGATTTGACACTAAGCTACACAATCAAGGTTGGTAAAAGAGACAGGTTGTGAAGAACGTTTTAAATGAGGAGGGAGAAGTTCAGGGAGTATATTGCTGAGCGTGGGGTAAACTGAAAGTCTTCCAGCAAAGGTGAAGTGATGAAAATAGAGATGCTCAAGTGACCAGAATTGGAGAAATACTTATGAGGCTTCCTGCCTGCCATTTTGAGGCCCTCAATGACCAATTATAGCCACTTCAAGCCTGCATCCTGCACCCACTGCTGTTTTGCCTGCAATGAGATTGGGAAGAGGGGAATTTCCCTCGTGGGTCACCTGTGTCTATAATTTGGTGAGGAGCAGCCGTCACTATTTTGGTGGGCTTGCCACTGACATTTTAGACGGGTTGTCTGGGACCTAACATTAAGCCCGTATGAAAACTGGACAGTGAAGTGGTGTTCCAAACCATATTTGTGAAGATTCTCAAAGGGTAGTGCATCTTTGGAATTCTTTACCACAGAAGGCTGTTGAGGCTGAGTCATTAAGCATTGTTAATGCTGAAAGAGAGAGAGAGAGATTTTTAATCTGTCAGGGAATCGATTATAGGCAAAGGCAGGAAAGTGGAGTCGAGAATGATAAGATCAGCATCAGCGGAGCAGACTCAATGGGCTGTTCTTCTGTTTCTGTGTCCTATGGTCTTACTTCAAAAACAGCGTCTCAATAATGCAGGATGAAGGTGTGGCATAAATGTCAATCATCAAACATTACTTGCCACTTGGTTGGCGAAAGAAAATTACACCAAGCATCAGATTTTAAACATCAGCACGTTCAGCTTCTGCTTTCTCTGATCCTTATGTACATTTATTAAATGGGGCTGAGACTGATATATTAATGGTCTAACCAAGGAATAGTCTTGTTTATGCTGTCATTAATGTTGTTGTTTGTCTGCGTCCTGAAAGCTATTGTGAAATTCCCTTTCTTCAAGTTGTTTCATGCCTCATTATGTAGGATTTATTGCCCATTTCTCCTTTGACCTTGAAATGGTGGTGAGCTGTCTTCTTCAACTGTGACAGTCAATCTGGTGTAGTTACATCTGTTACAAAGGGACTTCCAGGATTTCCAAAAGGAACAGTGATTTAAGAACCGTTCAACATGGCACGGGATGTACAGGGAAACATGCTGTGGTGTTGCTCATATGCATACACTGCCCTTAATCTAGTCAGTAAAGGTTACAGGGTGCTGTTAAAAGAGCCATGGTGAGTTGCTGCTATGCGTTTTGTCGTTGGTTTACTTCGCTATCACTGTATCGGTGGTGAAGGGAATGAATATTGAAGGTGAGGAATAGGGTGCCAATCAAGTGGGCTGCTTTGTACTGGATTTATTGAGCTTCTTGAGTGTTTCTGGAACTGCACTCATCTAGGCAAGTATTCCACAATGCTCCTTATTCATGCATTGTAGATGGTTTTGGGGAGTCAGGAGGTAAGTTACTCATCTCAGCGCCTCCAGTGCAAAAACTAAAGGGCCACTGGACCTGAAACATTAATTCTTTCTTTACGGATGCTGCCAGACCTCCTGAGTTTCTCCTGCAATTTCTATTTGTATTTCAGATTTCCAGCATCCGCAGTTCTTTTGGTTTTTTTTTTTGCAGAGCTTCTAACCTTTGATCAAGCTAATCCAGTGGTCAATAGCCAACCCTCCCTCAACACTGTTGAATATGAGGAGAGGATGGTTAGATGCTTATTGGAGATGTTGATTGCGTATGTGGGCTAAACATTACTTGTCATTTATCAGTCTAAGCCTGAAAGTTGCCCAGACCTTGGTGCATTTAGATATGTACTGTTTCAGCTCTGAGGAGCTGTGAATAGTACTGAACACGTTGCACACATTCAAAAACAACCCCATTATTTTGACCCAGTGCACTGTCCTGAGGGACTCCTATAACCGTACCTTAGGAATGAGATGATTGGCCTCCAACAACAACAAAGTACTAGTAAAACTCCAACAACCCAAACTCATCACCTTTAAAAAAAGTCCATAAGGTTGTTTCTCAATCTTCTAATGAGTAAAAGCCCAACACATACAACTTCTCCTCATCAGACAGTCTCTTTCTACCTCGCCCATACCTAATATCAGCCTCTGGACAAACGTTATGCCAGTTGTAGTGCTTTGTATAGTTTTAGCAAAAGGTCAACATCCCATTTGCTTTCCCTATTATCTGCTGAACATGTATGTTAGCTTTTTGAAACTTATGTATGAGGACACCCAAATTCCCTCTGCTCTACAGATGTCTACAGTCTTTCTCCATTTAGATAATACTCAGCTATTCTATTGTTCCTGCCAAACTGACATTTATCCACAATATTTTCCATCTGCTCAGGTTTTGCCCACTTGTCTATATCCCTTTGCAGACTCTGTATCATCTCACCATTTATCTTTCCACCTATTTTTGAGTTGTCTGCAAACTTGGCTGTAGTTCATTCATTTTCCTCAACCATGTCATTTTGTGGCCCCAACACTAAACTCTGTGGCACTCCACTAGTTACAGGTTACCATCCTGAAAATCTCATCATCACAACTCTGTTAGCCAATCTTCTATCCATGCTAATATCTAGCCAATAACCTTGTTCATGCATCCCCAGAAGGAACCAGCTCATTTGAAAAACTGTTGCCTGTTAAGACACGGATTCCATGCTGGCTCTCGTGAAGAGAAAAGACAGGCAGGACTTGTTATGGGAGTGTAAAAAAAGTTTGAAATTCACATCATCATACTTCAGTCAGTGCTAAAATCAAGCTAACATGACTTAATTTTGTATAAAATTTAAGTTGAAGATATTTAATGCTGTTGTCATTCAGCAGAGAAATTAGAGAATCTTCATCTCCAATGTTCACTGGTGCTGGTATCCCAGTCATCTCCATGGGCTCCTGCTATGAAGGTGTTAGCTGGACAATCTGTAATAGCTGACATCTGGTCCTCATCCTTGTAGATTGCACTCTCTCCTGCACTGTAGCATAATAGATCTATGAGATCTATTATGATAGATCTGAATCGTAATAGATCTGAAGCATGCACACATACGATGGATGTCGTGCATTCAGTGAGAGTGGCAATTAGACTTATGCATCATGAGTGGTTCTGGCATGCATTTTAGAACCAGGTGACAGCATCATTTCTGAACTTGCATTGAGAATCGGTGAGCTGACTAAGGCAGTATCTCATTGTCCAAAAACTGCAGGCAACGGTAGAAGAGGATACTGAGTGTTTTAGCCCTGAATGGTAGGAAAGCATTAGTTTTGCCAAGATAGAGAGGGAAAACTCCACCTTGGCTGCAGAAGGTAGAAAAACTTTAAAAAAAGTGGGTCGCCACCACTTTGATCATTTAGAAAAGTGGGAAAATCTGGTTAGCAACAGTGATGGGTGGAGAATTGGGAAAATTCACCCTAAAAATACAAAATTGTGTCAGTGAAATAACTCCACAGAGGCCGGCTATCCTGTCACCAAGTCACCCTTTATTTACACATGGGGAGTCTTCGATCATGATCCAGGTCCTCAGAGCCAGGTCTGAGTGCGCAGGATTTTTGACACTCCTGTTTCTGTCTGTCAGTCAGGGCTCCTTGATTGGACCAAATTAATGGCCCAAGTCAGGGGAACTCATATACCATGAGGTGGAGGTACCGGTGTTGGACTGGAGTGGACATAGTCAGAAGTCACACAAGACCAGATTATAATCCAACAGGTTTATTTGAAATCAGAAGCTTTCGGAGCGCTGCTCCTTTGGGGATTAATGCTCATGCTCCACATGCTGTATCCGTGCTGCCGATATCACACACTGTTGTGAGGGAAGGAGTGGGGAACAAGTAGTTCTACTCCAGCTTTCAGAGGGAGCAGATTTAAATGTACCAGTTCCCTAAGGCCCTAGTAATTATGACCAAATGTTGTTGTACTTAATGCTATCATACGATTATCTTTCATGATATCAATGAACAGTGTCTCTTCTAACATTGGTCAGTAGATAGGGCTAAAACAAAGGAGGATTGGTGGTAGTGAACTACCTTAAAGAATCCTTACTTAGTACCACATGTTGGTAGAGGTAGCAAACACCACAAGGTACCAGGAGTGGTATCTGAGAAATTACCATACAATTACAACTGTGTGGATCTAACTCTCGCCACAAAGGGCAGAAATCCCTTTGGGGGAAAAAAGATGTCAAGCAGGTGAGTTTATCAATTTAAGAGCAGATTTAATTTTGTTTTAAAGCTATATTAAAAACACAGACAGCAGTTGAAACATGATAATCAACAGTCATGGAATCAGCAAAAAGTAAGGTCAGCACTCTGACAGAGAG